GAAAGATTCAGTATGTTTCTCTTGTATCCACAATGGGTAAACCATTGCGACAAGAAAGACATCCTGGATCGATGGTGCAGTACTACAGCTTAAGGCACTTCAAGTTATCATAGCGCAAGGACTATTCTCGGATTGTAGTACGGGAGTATGAATCACGAGCTCTCGTAGTACAATGTACCCCCCGGCTGGTAAAATGACATTTTCCGCAGTATACTTTGAGTATGATTGGTTGTCTTGACGGTGGTCGGTCTTTCTCTACGATCGCGAGCCTTGGCATTAATCCGAGTCATAACGCCCATGTTCCAGTCCAAGATGAACCATTTCACTGAGTATATGAATTGTATGAGGCGGGTATGTTATAGGTTTTCTTCGCCTTAGATCATCTTTAATCATGCAATTTACTGGTTCGCGTCAGCCTCAATGGCAGGAATTCAATCGCATAGATTAGGCCTCCCAAAACGTCATTAGTCAGCAGTATGCGGCAAAACATGAATACTCGATCATTGGGTATATGGCGATACGTTGTGGGGCGTGGTTGATATGTCGGTCTATGCTGTAAGGTTTACCATTTTCTGTTCCCAAGTCTTGTACTTCAGTAGTATTACAGGACCGGTTCGATCTGTGCAACGCCGGGTATAGCTCTTTCAATTTGGAGCAAGTGTATTTCAAGTGTCCCAAAATCCAAGTATTGTGAGGCCCCACACCTCCATTTTCCCTTTATGTTTACAATATTGTCTCCGAAAGCTTACGCAGATTTTGCCCAACAAAACTCCATGCGGTCGTTATTCTGGACCCTAACAAAAGATATTGAAGGACGATTAGTTGCCGGACAATTTTTCGTTTTGATGGGGTGGGAAACATTGCAGCGTTGTAAAGGGCCGCTGCTGTCAAGATGTACCTTCTCAAATCGGCACATCCTTCTTTGCAGCTTGTAGCTCCTGTGTCAGAGAAGCCACATCCATTTCAACAAGGAGGGCCTCCCAAGAGTCGTCCACAAACTCTGGTTGTGCAAGGGTGCATCGACTAGACCCAGCTCTTGCCCCAGCTAATGCCGGAGGAGTGTCTCAGCTGTCGGCCGAACCGGACAATGGAGACGCCAATGCCAACCCCACTTACAAAGGACAGACGCCATGCTCTCCCGATTGTCACCTGTTATAAATAGGATTTCTGGTGTGTGTAGGAACCACGGTCTAGAACACGTCAAGGACACCAAGTCACCCTAGCCCAGGATCGGAACTACAGACAGGAAATTGTGAACATCCAATGCCTTCCAGAAGGTCGGACCGAGATGGAAGGCATCTTGGACACTATCAACCAACTCTCCTACCCTGCCTTTCCACGTCTTCTGGAGTCATATTACAATACGAGCCTGTGTTATCCGGTTATGGAAACCGGTAGAAATTAAAGTGGACAATATGTTTACCGTTCCGTGGCCGATCAAGGAGACTGAGCTGCCATACATTCACCGGACGGTAAATAAGACTATCAATCATCTGACAACAGTTACTGTAATAATTGTCGAGCCTGGAACCTTGAGAAAATACAATTCCTTCGTGACCGGGGAAGAATCTTAGCCGCAGTGTAGCCAAAAACAGTCTGCTTAAACAGAAGGGGCAAGTCCGCTTCAGTAAATCGATCCCTTCCACGTCGTTCTCAGAGTATGGTCAATTGACGTAGCACACTGCCCGGTGTGAAACAAGGCTAAGAGATATGAACGTCTGACATGAGTGCTGAACAAATTGACATTAACCGCCCTGGCAACGATCATAAGGAGCCTGATGGCTACAGGTGCCGGACAGGACAGGTGGAGCTCCGAGATCCAAAGTTCCCTTGAAGACCTGACCGTCAAATCTCTGGACGAGTTAATGAAGCTAATGTCGTGGCAAAAAGACGGGACAGCTATTGATAGCAGTTTCAGGGTTCATTCCCCGAGACTGTGATAGACGCGAGGAGCCCGGAATTCTGCGTCCAAGTCGTAAACAAGAAGGCCAAATACGATATGGAACTGTTATAGTTACAGTAGCAGCCATGATATGTAGGCTTCTGCTCCAATACAGTTCCCCAGTCAGAACCGATAAAGGCTCCACGGCCTAGCAGATGGCAGCAGTAAGGTCTAAGGAATGTCCATTGCGTGGCTGGGCGCCTATCCTTCCAAACAACGGTTTCATGGCGCCCTTTTACATCTTTTCATTATGTCTGGTATATCATAACGCATTGCGTAGGGTGATATCAGATATTCCTAATTTATTGCATCTAGGCTAAATGTCCGTAGGGAGGTATGTCACGCAAAGTACAAGGGAAGCGCACTCTTTGGCAAACTCTACGAGTATAGGGGCTATCCAAGAAGCTGATCCGAATGTCTCCATTACGCAAATATGTATCTTCAGGCTATCGACATCCATCTATGTCGTAGACGGCTCCACAGGCTTCCCTAGTGGCGCAGTCTTGGCAAGAGAGTCCTCGGGCGGAAATGTGATTTCGTGGAAGATGGTCTTGTTCGCCAAATCTACTAGTACCTTTAGGCCTCCCTCCCGGTTCACTTGCTCAAAAAAGGTGTGCTTTCAAGTCAGTTGCCACATCGCATGACGAGGCTGGAATATGAGCCAACTTACTTGCACTAACCTATCCAAGCATCGCGCGGAGGTCCATATATGATGCCCAATTCGTTCTTTGGCAGATGCGCAACCTACACCGTCTATCATTTGGAAAAGAGATCAGGATCTGTTGCGTGAGATGCTCAGATGCGATCAGTATGTCCACACTTTTTGCACTCTGGTCAATTTGGTGGACATCCCGACAACCCCACTTTTGGTAGGGTTGGATTGGAAATAGGTTTTGATGTTGGTGTGGAATGCTGCTTGCGGGATGAATTCTCATTGGTCATATCCGCCCGGAAAAATTAATGCCCGGCACGGCCATGCTCGACATTGAATCATGTGAAACTGGAAGCATCGGAGCAAATTATCAACCTGCTGACCTGGTTTTGATGAGCGATCCCTTAGAGTGGGCAATATATTCAATCTTGGCGCGCCTGTTGATTTTGTATGTGTCTCGTGGGGTTACCAAAAGCCGGTTGTGCCGGACACGCGGGAGTAGCTAGTATTGGTCATGTTACATATATATATGTATAAACAACATTGACCATTTATGTACGACATGTATAGACCATTGATGCCCATGATTATTGTACCATCGCGAGCGACAAGGCTCACATTTGTGGTAGCCTAGGGTAATAGTATATACACATTCCAGTATACCCATGTGTTGGTTTCTTTGCTTTACGCT